GATGATGATGATGATGACAACATTACGGCACTCCAACAAATTCATTCGTAACTCTAATGGTAACCACAATGACGACGACGAACACACACACACACACACGCACACACGCACATGGTAGAGACGTCAAACAACATCACATAACTATCACAGAACAGGATAACATTCAACGGAGACACGTGTGAACGAAAACAAGTCACCCACCATTATTAATAAGTAACACATAACATTTGGCACATTAAAATACTCGCTCGCACCTGTCAATATTAATTTAATATAAACATTAAAAGTGCAAAAAGATTAAATTAGAACTATAGCACTCTATATAGATACACGTGTACTTAAACTAGGTACAAACATTGTATATATATATATATATATATACAATATATATATATATTCATACATAGTACACATATCTAGATGGATACAAATGTATAATCTTATCCATTAACCTATATCCGCTTGTACTGTACAACGAGGCATAACATGACCTTGCATATTAATTAGGTGAAGGTCAGTTTGTGTTGTACACTAAGTTGTACACTATGCTAGTTGTGCATGTTTTTATGTGTGAATATGTATGTATGTATGTATGTATAGTTTCATGTATGCAATGTGTGTATGTATGTATGTATGCATGCATTGATTTATAATAACGCAAATAGTAGAAACACATTTATACAGGAAAATAAGAGCAGAGGAGTTTATGAACATATCTCTGTTTGTGTTTGTTTGTGTGTGTGTTTATGTATGTATTTAAATACATTTGTATAGATGTGTGTGTAATTATGTATATGCACGTGTATGTGTGTGTATATTTATGTATGTGTATATGTGTGTGTGTATTTGTGTATGTGTATGTGATAGTTGTTTGATCGCGTGTATGAATACGCTCATTTATTGTGACTACCCGCTGAGTTCATATGTTATTCATGATAATGACGACGATGATGATGACGATGATGACGATAATTATGATGATGATGATGATGATGACGACGATGATGATGACGATGATGACGATAATTATGATGAAGTCTGGACCAGACTTGTACTTTCTGATGTTTATTATTATTACGATAATATTATGATGATATAATTATTATTAATTCACTTTATTTTAATTACGATTGTGATGATAATGATTGCATGTAGTGACAGTGATGATGATGATGATATTTAAAATGACATTGAAGTTTTTTGATTTAGTTGGTGCGAGTATGTCTTGTCGGTAAATCACAATTGTCATCAATCTTTATATATCATCACATTTTCGAGTTTGCCCTTGCATTATTAAGAGTATCATAACTAACTATCATCATCGTCATCACAACATCATCACATCATTATCATTTATCATCATCGTCGTTGTCTTCATCTTCATCATCATCATTGGCTTTATCATCTTCGTCATCATCATCGTCGTCATTATCACTATTATTATCATCATTATTTTCATCGTCGTCTTCGTCATCATCGTCTTCATCGTCGTCATCATCAGTGTCGTTATCTGGCAGTTAACAACAGAATTTTAAAATATTTCCTGCTAGCTATTATTCACCACGATCAAAATAATCACTTCATCATCGTCGTCGTCCTCTTCTTCCTCTTCATCGTCATCATCATTTTCATCGTCGTCGTCATCATCATCACAGCTTTCTTGTTTTCTAGTCACACGCTAACATCATTACTACCTCCAACAAATGATACCTAATAGTTGTTGACGATGACGTGTTTACGACTGCCACGATGACGTCATATTCATGCTGCTGCTGCTGCTAATGATGATGATGACGACGGTGACGACGACGATGATGATGATAATGGTGATGATACACAAAACGATGATGACGATGATGATATTAATTATGACGATGGTGTTAACAGAACAATGTTTTCAACAGTTAAGGTATCGAAACCGGAATATGTACATGGAGGTTGTTTTTGCTGTGACGATGATGATGATGATGATGATGGTGATGGTGGTGATGAAATGATGATGAAAACAATATAACGATGGTGTAGGCAATGGCATTGACATCCTGGTAATATAACGCCTCGTAACCTGTTCATCAATTTATCAGTAACAATATTTCTACGATCCCATATAATCTGCAATTATTCATTTATTCGTTCGTTTGTTCATTCGTTCGTTCATTCATTCATTCGTTCATTCATTTATTTGTTCATTCATTCATTCGTTAATTTGTTTGTTCATTCATCCATTCATTCGTTCATTTATTCATCTATTAATTCGCTCTTTCCTTCAATCCATCATTTCGTCGTTTCGGTTACGTTAGGTTTGCAATTGCTGCTAATATCAAATTACGCTATTAATTTTTATGCTAATATGCCACATTTTCACGCCTTTCCATATCTCTCTCTCTCTCTCCCTCTCTCTTTTTTTATCTCGTTTTGTATTTCTTTCCCTCTTTCTTTCTCTTTCTTTCGTTTTTTCTTTCTTTTTCTCTGTTCGAAAATGTCTTTTTGCTTATTTCCTAATTTCATTTTTTCATTTTAGGTTTCTTTTCCATGGTTTTTTCAATATGACAATATATTTTACTTTGTGAAACGAATGTGCGATAATACGTGAGTGGCTTACGTGCTACTTCAACACATGTGCGTGTGTGTGTGCGTGTGTGTGTGCGCGTGTGTGAGCGTGTGTGTACGTGCGTGTTTAAATGATACGTGTTTAGGCAGTTAACATGCTAATTATGAGCTCTCACACTTCACACATTCACGACTGACTGATTGAATAATTGTTTCTTGTAAAGGTATGTGTGCGTGTGCGTATGCGTGCGTGTTTCATTTTGTCTCTGAAGACAACAAATTCGTATTAATGTATTTAATGATTTATTAATACATTTATTTAACTATTTTATTTATATAATAATGTTTTCAAATCAATCATCTTTTAAATAACAGCCCGTGTGTATGTCAATCGCTGCATATCACCGAAATATACTTGCCATGGTCAGAACTCCACTCTTTTAGCAATCCCGTATAAAATATTTGGCGTGAAATCTTTCTTATTTGTGCACATTTTTATAAGCATTTCTCAGTTTATATGCATAATTAGTTAGCACCGATAGGCTGCTGGTAACACTACAACACGTTCTGAAGAAAATATTTGTATTTTTTTCTAACGTATTATGTAGTTTTTGGGCACATTAACACGCATACAATTAAACATACATGCATAAACGAAATCGAGTATACAAACCTACATATACAAATTTTTACATCTGTTTAAGCAAACACACACATACACACACACACACACGCACACACACATGTACAGGCATACAAACGAAACGTACATTAATTAATTTATTTATTCATACGGCGTATAGTACACGTTGAAATCCTTAATGGATGTGCTAATGTATAAATTATTTGTACACGTGTTCCGTGTACGCGCAAAATGGGATGTGGTCAACCAGTTGAAAAAGACGTACGTTATCATTTCATCATCGTCATCGTCTTTATCTTTATCATCATCGTGAGAGATTTTGATTATCATCATCTACTACATCATCATCTTCATCACTATCGTTCGTTTCAGTTAGTTTCATATTTTGCTTGGCGATGGTTGTTGGAAGGATCTGAAACACAAATTTGACGCGCCATCATTATCACTATCTTTTCATCATCATCGTCATCATAATCATCATCGTCATCATAATCATCATCTTTTTCTTCTTCCTCCTCCTTTTCTTCATCTTCATCTCCATCATCTTCATCGTCATTCTTCCATCATTCCGAAGCGTGACTGACCGTGAATTGAACGATAAAGGCAGCGAAAAAGAAATAGGCATCATTAACAATAATAACGACAATAATAACAACAACAACAATAATGACAATAATAAAAGCAAAAGAATCAGCACAACAATACCAACACCAAAGCTATCACAGCTACTAATAACAATAATAGCAACAACGACAACAACAATATAAATAATAGTAATAACAACAACAATATTAATAATGATAATAATAAAAACAATAGCAATAACAAAAAAGATTAATAGCAATGCAAGATAAACACGAAAGTTCAATAAAAAAGAGATGACGCATTTTTTTGTTTGCCAACGCCAAACAGCCAAACTGAAAGCGAGAGAAAGAGAGAGAGAGAGAGAGAGAGAGAGAGAGAGAGAGAGAGAAAGAGAGTACCGGAAATACAATATACAATGTGCTATTTTAAGATACTACAAACAATGCACATACATGTTAGCAGATATTATTGTATATTAATACTATATTTATTCAATGGAAGTACCGAATACAATACAAGATCATCTTTTGTGTTATATACAATCTTGTATTTTTAACACAAATACGAAATACCATACAACATGCATGTATGCAAATGTTTCCTAATAATAACACAAAACTGTAATTATTTTTAAATACAAAATACAATACACACACGCACGCACACACACACACACACACACATATATATATATATATAAATTAATCTTTATCATTGTATATACAAAGTATACAATGATTCAAATAGCATACAAAATATACAGATATCTAATGGAAAATATACTAACGAATTCGCGAATGAAATATCTTATCAATAAATCATTCGCAATTACAATACAATACACAATTATAATACAAAATAGCATCCACTCATCAAAGGATATATATAAATCATGGAATACAATTATAACAATCAAAGACATTTAACCTTTAATTATCACGTACGTACGATGTGTGTGTGTGTGTATTGTACTGTGCGTATTGGCGGATTGTATATATCTACATACTATGTATACATGTACGCAAGCGTGTATACGTAGATACTTGTTGGTATGTGTATTTCAAAATTATCATACACATTTGCTTCAATTTACATATTATACAATTCGAATAGATACAAAATATATTGACGTACACATACACATACACTTATACACCTTGCATACATGTGTATATGTATATATATATGTATAAATGTGTGTGTGTATGGTGTGTGTGTGGTGTGTGTGTGTGTATACTATACATGTATATACACACACACACACACACACACACACACACACACACATACATGCACACGCACTCACATAGACACGTACTTTACAAAGTCAGACATGTACAAAATTTCCACACAACAAACCGTAAAATGAATGAATGGGACACAATAAAACCCAGCAAAACACACAACAACACATCGAAATACACAAACTACAACATCATAAATTACAATTAACGAGCATCTCGTCGGGAGAAAACATCATAAGAACAACTACACACTACTAATTAATTGTCTTTCATGCTGAACACCCCTTTCTTTCTTTATGGTATCTTCTTATCAATTGGATCAGTCCGACATAATAATAAAAGCAAATACTGCTACTACTACTACTGCTACTACTACTACTACTACTACTACTACTACTACTACTACTACTACTACTACTACTACTACTACTACTACTACTGCTACTATTAATACTGCTACTACTAATTCTCAACTACTACTACCATTACTACTGCTACAGCTAATATGGCTGCTGCTATTGCTGCTACTACTACTACTACTACTACTTCTACTATTACTTCTACTACTGCTACTACTACTACTACTACTACTACCTATTACTACTACTTACTATTACTACTACTACTACTACTGCTGCTGCTGCTACTTCTACTTCTACTAATACTACTGCTACTACTACTTTAAAAAAATGAAAATAATAATTGTAATTATGAAAAACAAGACAAACAACAATAATCTCCATTATCTGTTTTTAAAGGTGAATGTCTCGAGATGATAAGGATGATGACTTTTGATTAGTGTAATGAGGATGGTGATGGCGATGATGTAAACATACACAAACATACATAAACACACTTTAAATTGCACGAACACATACATACAAACGTACGTTATCGTATACAAATGCATACATAAACATACATAGACATACATAAACATACATACACATAAATAAACATACGTACATACATAGACATACATACATACATATACATAAACATACGTACATACCTATACATATACCTACATGAACATATATAAACATACATAAACACACATACACATACATAAACATACACAAACATTCACAGACATTCATATACACACACACACACACACATATATATAATATAGATATACATATATATACAAACATAAACACACATAAACATGCAAATTCTTTCAGTTAAACAAATACGATTGCACCATGTTAACGTATGATGATGACTGGTCTGATAACTGGATGATAAACTAGCGTCCATTTGAATTCAGAAATCAAATTTCATTCCGTTCTGATGGTAACGATAATAATAATGGTAAAAGTGATGATGATTAGAATGATTAAGACGGTGATTAGGATGATGATTAGAATTAGATTAAGACGGTGATTAGGATGATGATTAGAATTAGATTAAGACGGTGATTAGGATGATGATTTTGTAGATTAAGGTGGTTAAGAAGAAAAAATGATGAAGAAGAAGAAGAAGAAGATGTTGGTGGATGGTGATAATGGTTAACACAAATGATAATTAACGACGATATTGACGATGATAATATTAATTATAACAATAATATTCATGATAATAATTATTATATTTATTTGAATTCAGAAATCAAATTTCATTCCGTTCTGATGGTAACGATAATAATAATGGTAAAAGTGATGATGATTAGAATGATTAAGACGGTGATTAGGATGATGATTAGAATTAGATTAAGACGGTGATTAGGATGATGATTAGAATTAGATTAAGACGGTGATTAGGATGATGATTTTGTAGATTAAGGTGGTTAAGAAGAAAAAATGATGAAGAAGAAGAAGAAGAAGATGTTGGTGGATGGTGATAATGGTTAACACAAATGATAATTAACGACGATATTGACGATGATAATATTAATTATAACAATAATATTCATGATAATAATTATTATATTTATAATTATGATAGCGAAAAAGATGGTGATGATGATATCTGTGAAAATATTTCTGAAATATTTTTTTCTCCAAGGCATACTTTCAATGCAGGTCATCATAAAATAAACACCAGTTTTGATTTTGCTGGCTGGTTTGTACGAGTGAGTGTGTGTGTTTCTGTGTTTGTGTTTGTGTGTGTGCGTATGTAATACGTTTATATGTTTGTATGTGTTTGAAGGCAAACATATCAGTATTTGAATCAAAGTTTGTATGTGTGAATGTATGTGTGTGTGCGTGTTTGTGTATGTGTGTGAATGTAAGTATGTGTACATTTTTCATTTATAACTAACACTTTTTTGTAAACTTATCTTTGTAAATATGCACATTTTTCATGATTCAATTTTTTGTGTCTACAGTTTATATTAATAAACTGATTGGTATGCGTAGAGAAAATGAATGGGTAAATGGATGAATGGATGGATTAATGGATGGATAAATAGATGGATAGATGGATGAATGGATGGATGGATGGATGGATGTATGGTTAGATGAGTAAATAAAAGTTGTTAGTATGAAATAAAAATAAAAGAATGAATGATGGACTGATGAAAAAGTATTCTGTAAACATCGTTATCTACCTGTTGATCGCACTTCTGCATGTTCTAATAATAAATAACAACCCATTACACGGCGTGTGTGTTGTGTGTGCGTGTGTGTTGTGTGTGTGTATTCGTTCCTATGTTGTATGTGTGAGAGTGTGTGCGTGTGTGTGTGCTCCCTTAGCTCTTCTTATCATCTTTTCAATTTTTAATCTTGTCGGCTTGTTTGCACATATGCTAAGGTTGCTTGTTTGTTTTGGTATTTTTCGTATGTGTGTGTGTGTGTGTGGTGTCTGTGTGTATCCGTGCGTGTGTCTGTGTGTGTTTGTCTCTCTCTCTATCTATCTTTCAGTCTGTGTGTCTATGTCTGTGTGTTTGTGTCTATGTCTGTCTGTGTGTGTGTCTGTGTGTTTGGAATTTGCATGAATTTATGTGGTATTTTCAAAATACATACAAAAGTTAGTGTACGTGAAATATGTGCAAACTTTATATGTGTCGTTTTTATTTGTTTGTTGAAAATCCCGACTGTGTTGGACTGATGTAGATGATGTAGATGATCATGATGATATGGAGGATGATAACGATAATGAGAAAGAGTTAAAAAGAAAAGGAAAAGAGAGAAAGAGCGAAAGAGAAAGAAAGAAAGAGAGAAAGAGAGAAAGCGAGTGAGAGAGAGAGAGAGAGAGAGATATTTTATATTGTTATCTTTTGTTTTATAAAACAAATGTCTTAAATTTTTTCTGAACCGAAGTGTTGATTGTTTCAATCAGCGGAATGAAAACGATGAATGACTATGGAGGTTAACCGGTTGATAAGTTGATTGATTGGTTGGTTGGTTGGTTGTTTGAAAAGTTGAGTGATTGGTTGGTTAGTTGGTTGGTTGAAAAGTTGATTGATTGGTTGGTTGGTTGAAAAGTTGAATGTTTGGTTGGTTGGTTAAAAAATTTATTAATTAGTTGAATGTTTGGTTGGTTGGTTAAAAAATTGATTGATTAGTTGATTGATTGGTTGGTTGGATGGTTGTTTGACTAAGTGGTTAGTTAGTTGTTTGGCTGGTTGGTCAATCAGTCATCAAGTTTCACTAGTCTGACGACTGATTGATTGATTGGTTAAAATTACACAAATTCTTTATACTTGGGTTGTTTGATTGATTGACCGGTTGGTTGATTGATTTGATTTCTGGTCGATTGTTTGATTGTTTGATTAATTGTTACATTAGTTGATTGAACCATCGGCCATAAAATGTTGTTGGTAGGTGATTGGATGGTGCCAAATGGATTAACCTTTCATCTCATTTGGTGAAGGACAGAAGGGATGGATGGATCAAATCAGAAGATGAAATGCATGAAAGGATAGATAAATAAATGAATAAATTAACGAGTGAGTGAATGAATAAGTTAGTAGTTGAATGAAAG